AGACTAAAGAAAGACAACCAACCCGATTGAGTGAAAATAATTGAGTATTCTAGTAGGCCGATCGAAGAACAAGAAGAACAAAGCGGGAACTGGCCCCGGCAACATAACCTCTCAGACTCCTATGAATGGACCTGTTTTTTGAGTTTTCTGTAGCGTATCTCCTTCAAAAGCATGCAATTTTCGTTTGTTTCAAAAATTTTCACAGGAAATAAAAATATTTGTCGAGATTTCTCGTTGGAACCGGGCTTGATACCTACCCCATTTCATCCCGGCTTCCGGTTTTGTTCTTCTTTTTGTTCTTCGATCGGCGACGACTAGAATGATCTTTTCCTGAGCATTTAACAAATGATGCAGCTCACAGTATCATGAATCATTAACATGCCATGAAGATGCTGCTTCCATGCCGGTGAGGTCTTGCCTGGTCAACGGCTCGGCTGGTGCTTGTGCTAGCTTCAACCAACGTGCGTTAGCGTGTGACTTCCGCCGTGGTGCCTTTTAGCCTCGCTACAGGTGGTGGTACCGAAAGGCGGTACCGAAAAGATCTTATCTGGGCGTTCCCCTTAAGAGAATGTTATCTTAAGGGGGTAGTACACTTCGCAGGGTCAAAAAATCGCATTTATGGGACGTCTATTTGCGGACAGGGGAAGTGAGACACACCAATATTGATGATAGGTCGTTATTATATTACTATTGAAGATCACAATTGTCAATTTTGAAGGTCCTCCGAGGTAGCTGCAGCGACTTTGGCCAATTTCCCCAAATCACTGCAACAAATACATAGTCCGTTGGTTTGCGTGATTGGGATCGAACGGTGCGACCTAGGGGGTCCAAACTCGGTATGGACCATCAGTACACATGTAATTCTGGTGTGAACTACGGAAAAAAAGTTTGGAAAAAAATTAGTGTCCCAAACTACACTGTAAAAAAAAGTACGAAAAAAGTCCCTTTTTTCGCCCAAATTCGGCCCCGAAAAAGGTAATAGTTTTTGTTTAATCGTATTTTCCGTAGTTCACACCAAAATGACGTGTTTTTGCCGTGTCCCTGCAAAATTTCATCGAAATCGGTTTAAAATTGCGCCTGGAATCGCGCAAACCAGTTTGAAAAATGGTGTTTCGAGACAATCGCGTTTAAAGTTTTAAGTGGGGGAAAGTTCCCCCACTCCGCCACGTCCCAGGCGCGCGCACCGCTGAGCGCGCGCGGCTTTTAAAATGGAATTTCGGCCGCGCCCCGACCCAGCTCCGGTCGGAACTTATAAAGTAAGGTACTAGGGACCCGAAAATGCAAAAAAAAAAAAATCGATTTTTTGAAAGTCGCGAAGTGTACTACCCCCTTAAACGCAGGCAAATTTCGCTCAGTTTGATCATTTGGGACGAGAATAGCCGGAATATATTTCTACATGCACTTCTGGTTTCTGTGATCTTTCATCTTCAGGTTTAGGTGAATTCAATCACAAATTCTATTGATTTGTAGGCGTATTAAATGATCGAACTGAGTGAAATTCGCTGCGATTAAGATAAGATTCTCTTGGAGGGAACGCTCCGATAAGATCTTTTCAATAGGACCCCTTGAAATGTGTCACGGAATGGTGCTGTTGCTTGCTTGCTCGCGCCCACGGTGTACACCGCGCACGCGCCACCGACACCGCGTCACTGCATCAAAATCGACTACTGTTGTACTAGTCACACTTTTTCTTGCAGTGAAATCTCCTCCCTGGAACTGGATTTCCCGGAAGAGGGGTCCGTCGCCGGCTGAAGGCAAACAGGGATGCCTGTACGGTCCTCTGGGCCCTGCGGGAACTTTCCCGAGCGCCTCGGGGTATCGCCTTTCGCTTGCGGTCGCTGTTCGGGCGCGCTCGGCCGCCCTCAGCCGCCCTCAGCCGAGCCCGTCGCCCGTCGCCGGCATGCCCGAAGTAGAGGCCTAGCCCGAAGCAGGTGCTGGGCCCAGCAAGTGAGGTGGTTGCAGCGGCGGGCGCTCCCCCGCCCCTCCCCGCGCCCTCAGAGGAGGTGCGCGACCGGCGGGGGAGGGGGGGGGGAGGGCTGGCCGGCTGGAATCCGGTCCGGCCGGTTTCCCCCACCGCATCCCAGTCCCAGTCGCAACTCGCCCTCTGCCAAGTGAGGTTCGTCGCCCTCCACGAGGAACGTAGCTGTTTACCTGTCCGACGTCATGGCCTTAACTCATGGTGAGAAACCTCGTTCCGGAGTTACGCGCAACATTGCATGCTTACTGTGTGAGCCAAAAGATCCCGACCGCTTCGGCCAGCTCTGGCTGGGGTTTTCTGGTCACAGCGTCCAAACCGTTAAATGGAGAGGGGTTTAGAGGCCTACTATCGGCTCGCTTATTATACCCCTCTAAATTCAACGGTTTAGACGCTGTGACCAGAAAACCCCGGCCAGAGCCGGCCGGGCGGTCGGGTTCTTTTGGCGCTTCAAGTTGAAGCATGTTCTCTCCATCTCACGCTGATGCATGCTTTCCAAGTACACTCCTCGCTGGAGCATGCTTGCAGAGTACACGCCAGGTAGCGAATATTGCATGCGTGCACTCCTGCTGAAATTCCGTACCCTATGCCTGTTAAAAGGGGAAAAGTTAACAAGCAGGTATGTCAGGTATGTGCTATCTGGTGTGTCGGTGGATCGTGCATCCCAAGTATGGTTAAAGTGAGTGTACTTCATGAGGTATGCTTCTGGGACACTGATAAAAATTTTGTTGTAGCTTTTGCCGCTAATTTTTTTAGCGACAAGAATAGCTTGTTAAGCTTGTTAAGTTCCGTATTGGAACTAAATGATAATTATTCATCCAGGAAGCGGAGGAAGAGAATAACTCGACTCATGTCCAAATTGAGTTTTTAATCTATATTATTGTGCCTTAGAATGGTTTGCATCTCCAAATTGAGTTTTTATTCTATTATTGTGCCTTAGAATGGTTTACATTATTGCACTAAATTATTTGACTCAATTTCCTGCAGTAATGGAGAAAAGCCACTTTGTAAAAAGATATAACTCAACTTGACCCCTTTTGCACTCTCAATTTAGCGGAAAATGGAAACAACTCAACCAAAGCCAAAATGACTCTGTTGAAAACTTTATCAATAGGAGATAACTCAGCTTGTGTTTTTATGTATCCATTGTAAAAAGAGGAACCAACACTCTCTGCTCCAATTTCTATTTGTTTGGGAAATATAAGTTGAGATGACTCTGTTCTCCATTTTAACGGAAAGTGATAAGTCACAGACATCTGATAACCAATGACCTGACACTCCTCATGTTCATCTCCAAATTTAACTTGCGCTTCTTGAACTTCTTATCACCTGTATCATTCCTCTATTTTGTTTTAGTTTTCCCTGGTAACAGTTTTTTGTTTCCCTTGAAAAATGGCCCAAATTGAGTTATCCCCTTCTTCCGCTTCCCGGATCAAGTTTGTTGTTGTGAAATTAATCCAGGAAACGGAAGAACGGAATGACTCCATTTTGATTATTAAAACTAAACAAATGAATGTTACAGATGATTATAAGTTCAAGAAGCGTAAGTTAAATTTTGAGGTAAGCATCAAAGGTGTCGGGTCAGTTTGAAGAATATAACTGTGACATATCATTTTCCGATAAAATGAAAAATAGTCATGTCGTTTTATATTTCTAAAAGAAAGTGGTGGGGTGAGAGACAAGTGGAACTTAAATCAGCGTCAAGTGTTGGTTACTCTGGTGTATTGTTTGGACTTAGTTCTTTTTTTCATTAACGTTTTTAAAATGAAGCAGGTTAAGTTGACTTGACTCATTTCACAATAGATTCTTAAAGGCACAAGTCAAGTTATCATCTATAGTCAATATTTTCAAGGATTTATGTTCACTTCGGTTGAGTTGTTTCCATTTTCTGCTGAATTGAGAGCGTAAGTAAGGTACACTCTTATGATACTCGTAAGAAAAATGACATCCATACTAAGTTTTATAAGGGAGATTTTGGTAAACACGATGCTTTAAATGAAGGCTCTATCTTTCTAAATAATCTCCTCCCTAGTATTAAAAATATCCTCGATCCCAAACTGTTTAAAAGATCTCTCAAAAATTACGTTATGGAAAAGGAGCTGCATCAAATAAGTGACCTCTGACTTGTTCCCTCTCTACTTGTGTTTGAACTCCCATTTATTCATCTTCCTGTTTATATATTTATACATGACGTTGTACATTCTGTCTGTAAGTTGGTACGAATAAATGATTTGATTTGATTTGAAAAGGGGTCAAGTTGAGCGGTATGCTTTTTCCATCTAGATTTTCCATTCAGTGTAATGATGGAAACCATTCTAAGGAAGAAAAATGGAATGAAAACTCAATTTGGAGATAAGTCAACCCCATCTTGTTGGATCACTTTTAATAACATAAAAACAGTCCACGCTCAAAAACAAGTCGTTGACCAACTACAAACACTGTGAGTCAACAACAAGTATTCCAAGCCAAAAATGATTTTGTAATGTCTGCGACAAATATTGATTGAGTGCTTCTGTCGCTTAGGTTATTTATCATGGTTTTACTTTCAATATTAGTAATGTCCCTAACAAAAGAGAAGAAGATTCTAAATACCTGATGATTCCAGTAATATTCACTATTAATTGGAATTGAGCAGGTTAATGCTGATGACAAGAATTTTGTTTTTCTTCGACTTATTGTCACTTTGTAGATTCAACGACATTTGGTTCATGATGACATTTTATGTTTTGGAGCGACTAAGTTTTCACTCGTTTGATTGTTTTTGTACAATTCTACAGTTGACAGTGAAGCATTTGACATGTATTAAACATTTTCATTTGCCTTTGTTGAGTCATCCATTTCTTATGTGTATGTTCATTTGTTCCATTTCAGAAAGGCATTCTTAGTACCATATCTGCAATCCCTGGACAGTTTCTGACAACGCCAGTGCTGCTGAGCGAAAATATCAAAGATCCGTTTCCCTTGTCGATCTTAAAGTCTTCAATTCATTTCAAGTTGGGGAGTTTCTGGTGGAATTGCACTTTCTTTAAAATGGTTAAGACCACGCTTGCTTCAGGATCTCTCTTCGGGCTTCCAACCTTACTTCAATATAGTAAATTTTTTTCGATTTGAGCTAGTGTCGGATCCAGAGACGACCCAAGGGAGGAGGGAGACAACGTATCACTTAATGCCTATTTATGGCGTAAAGTGTTGCTTTTTGCTACCTTTTAGGGGGCGTTATGGGGGGGGGGAGGCATTGCACTCCTCCGTCTCCCGGTTTCGCGCTTATGCTCCAGAGATTTCTGTCTTTAGCCAATAAACGCTTGTTTGTGACTTGTTTCAGGCCCTGACACTGGACCTTGTGCCGTGTGCAAAAAGCCATCCGCGCGCCCCTGCAGCCGCTGCCGCGTGGATTTTTACTGTGGAAAGGAACATCAAACTCTTGACTGGCCTCGTCATCGCAAGGTACACATGAATGCCACTTTATGGCCGCCTTTTGTCGTCTGTACAGTTAGTTACTGAACGAATGTGACGTCATATTTTATAGTATGTGAATTTAACGTCATTCGTTTGAATATGGTGCGAGGGGTGAATCACTTAGCGTTCTGGTGTACGGAGTGAGTACGGTTGAAAACGAACTACTAAGCGCGAGAAAATTTATCGAATCGCGTCAAAAAATTAATTGAATTTCGCCCCTCTTTAAACTGGTGAGTACACTACGGGCTAATGTGTACATATTAGTCAGTGAGTACACTACATGATGGCACATTCGTGTAAATGTTGATCGACGTTCAAACGAGTCACATCGCATTTAAGGGGGCAGTAGCACTTTGTTCACGGTTTTTAAATTTTTTTCGATTTTTCTGTTTGCACCTGAATAAAAAAGACTTGCATGAATGCTAGAGACAAACGATGGTAACCATGTAAAAGATCAAACTTTTTGCAACAATTTCAAAAAAAAAGATTTTGTTTTAGCATAAGGGGAGGCACTTATATGAGGGACGTAAAAAAGGTCTGCAAAATCATACATGATGTCACTGCGCGCACGATTTCAGCCAAAGTTTTCAACTTTTTTTCAATCGGTAAAGTGCATAAAAAAGAGCATAAAATTGCCTACAAAATGAACCACGGGGGTTAATATCGGATGAAAAATGCTACTAGATATTTAGTATCGAACAAGAAAAATTCATTCAATGGAAAATTTGTGAAAAATGACCTTTTTCTACCAGCGTTTTTGGCCCGATGTTAACCCCCGTGGTTCATTTTGTAGACAATTTTATGCTCTTTTTTATGCACTTTACCGATTGAAAAAAAGTTGAAAACTTTGGCTGAAATCGTGCGCGCAGTGACACCATGTATGATTTTGCAGACCTTTCTTCCGTCCCTCATATAAGTGCCTCCCTTAACGCTAAACCAAAATATTTTTTTTTGAAATTGTTGCAAAAAGTTTGATCTTTTACATGGTTACTGCCGTTTGTCTCTAGCATTCATGGAAGTCTTTTTAATTCAGGTGCAAACAAAAAATTTGAAAAAAAATTGAAAAAGCGTGCACAAAGTGCTACTGCCCCCTTTAAACGAACCTGACAAAATTCACGTTTTAGTGAACATGCGGCGTAACAATCATTGAATTACGGTGTGACTCGTATGGTCTGCGTGCTTCGACAAACTCATTCAAAGAACGTTCTTCGTAAGCTTCAAAGAAAACGGCGGCTTCGCAGCCTACGTGCTTCGGTCTATCGTAAATATTCGGCCCAGATTTTGTGGCCGAAAACAGTTGAATTCCGTCCATAGCACGTCAAAGCAGTTTCTCCAAATCCAAACCGTTGACTGCTGTTCCAGGGATGCGGCGTGTTGGCCGTGGAAAGCAACGAGGCCCTTGGGCGATTCGTCGTCGCCACCCGTGCCATTCCTGCCGGCACAATCTTGATGAGGGAGGTGCCCCTCGTAGCCTACCCGGTGGTCCTTCTACCTCATGTAAGTTTTACGCACTTTGGGTGCCATGGCAGTCAGCAAGGGGAAATAACTCCGGCCAAATTTGTACACCAAAATTCATCAAACATGTAACATTCACTGAAATTCAATGAAAGTAATTGAAAATCGACTGAAATGTATTGAAATTTGACTGAAATTCTTCGAAATTCGGCTAAAATTTATGGGATTTGTACACCGAAATTCACAGTGATTTCCCCTAGGCAGTTGCTGTGCATATTTCGTACAAGTTTGCATTTGTTAGTAGTACTCGTGTAGTTTCTTCAGAGTGCAGTCTATTGACCCCTGACGCCACTCCCATTTCAGGCGGCATGCACGGGATGCTTTGCCCGGTTGCCGTTGGGCCCGCTGCAAGGATGCCAGCGCTGTGGATTTCCCGTGTGCGGCGAGGCCTGCAGCTTGAAGGAGGTGCACCTCCCGGAATGCTCTGCTTTCCAGCGCGCCGGCTTCAAGTTGAGCACCAAGCTGTACCTCGAAGGTAAGGTGGTCTCGTTACCTACTGCAATTTCAATCTTGCGACGTGACATGGGTCTCCGCACAATGTTGTTCTAAGAACATGACGTCATATATTATTTTATTTCTTATTTATTTTTACTTCGTCATACGCTCCTTTGAATATGATTCCCCATTCGTTTGAATGTTGATCCATGTTACGGCCGTGTCACACTGGTGAAACAAAGGCATTAAAATTATGCCCTTTAAGGGCGTAAACGATTTACGCCCTGAAAGGGCATAAACGATTTACGCCCTCAAAGGGCATAAATCGTTAAGGCGGGACCCCAGTGGCCGTTCACCCGCGACGGCTAAAGGAACTTAAAAAGTGTATTGACGGGAGTCTCCTTTTGCGAATACTCCTTGCCATTTTCGTTCTGGTAATGTAGCACTTTCCCGAGAGATGGCACCACAGTCAGGTACTTCCAAAAAATAAAAGGGTCCTAGTTCTGGGTGGAAAGTCCTATACCTGCCGTGCATTCTCGGCAGTGACGGACAGCGCGGTGCGTTTTGACGGTGTCGATGGCCAGACACAGAGAGGACGGAACAGAGAGGTATAACTCCCATGCTAAGCCGCTCCGCCAATTTCGTCGGGCCCGGCGGACGGTCGCGCGACAGTAGCGCACCTGGCGGTGCGGTCGCGCGCTTTTTGGCTGGAGCTCGACACGGCCCGGTCGGCCCGGGCCGCGCCGTTCGTTTGAATGCGCGGTCGCGCCGCCTGGCGGCCGGGCGGCTGGCCCGGTACCCAGGTTTTTGGATTGAATTGTGGTTAATCCTGGCCAATTATTTTGGTTTTGGTATTTGAGATGCATAATGGGCTGCTTCGAGTGCCAATTGGTGTTGTTTTCGGATCACTATTGCTCTTTTCCACTGTTCTACAGCAATGAGAAAATAGCTTCTTGGCTTACTCCACGCCTTTTTTTTGGGGGGGGAGGCTTGTGGAATGAAAATGAAATTTTCAAACTAAATGCATGTTTAATGAAAACAATTGTCACAGATACATCACAAATCAATAACCGATAATATTAAGTCAAAATTTTAAATTAAATACATGTAAATGAAAACATTTATCACAGATTACATCACAGATCAATAATTGAAAATCTTCAGTCACAAGTTAAACGGAAGGATCAGTTGGGAAGCCTGCCAAACACATCATCAATCTGAAAAGAAAGAAGAGACAGAAATTAGCAAAGAGACGATGGGGGAAAGGAAGAGCCAGTGAGAAAACTAAGTCGATAATGGAACGTACCACTTAGAGCAGATTGGTGGACGGAATAGAGTCAACAGCCTCCAGTAACACCCCTACATCCCCTTGGAGTAATGGAAGGTGAAGTCATCACCCCAAGCCTCAACAAGAGTCATCTGGAACAAAAGATACAAAAATATTAAGTAAAAGTTCTAAAAATACTTGTGACAGGAAGTTCATTGTGTGGCTAAAATTTAACCATTAATAGATGAATTCAATCCCTGAGTTGAAGGCCCCAGCTCATATTGGTCTTTGTGATATGGAGCTTTACGCAAACTTTTAATCGATTCTCCCAAATTCTCCCTGTGACAAATGAAAAGGTACCCAGTTTGCAGATTCTGGCATTTGAACTTTTACAGAGAAAGGAAAAAGATTAGGAAATATAAGCCCAGTAAGGGGTGTAAAAGCTACTTTACTACTCTTGGTTTAATTTTTATTCAAATTTGAGATATTTTTGCCACATTTTGTTCTTATGTGTTATTTTTTCAGGAAAACAAAGGAAGGTATTAAAAATCTCATTCAACGAACGTTAATGAAAGCAGATGATACTCGTTTGGTTTTCTTATACGGGGTAGTACGCGGGATCATTCCAAAGATAGTATTTAAAATTGTGTACGAAACAAAATACACAGACCCGAGTGAGCTGGCCGGTGTTGGTACTAGCCGTGCCGAGCTGTGGCTTGCACCGCACGCCGCCGAGCCCCAGCGAGCGCCCCAGGCCGGGCCGAATCGGGAGGCATTGTTGCGCGATACTCCGCGCCGTGGCAGGCGGGGAGGGATTGTCAATGCGAGGAGGAGGTGCCATTGTTGACGCCCGGTGCCGCTGGCGCTGTACCGCGGAGGGATTGTCGAATTCCGCGCAGGCTGCGCCTCATTGCAAGCAACACGCACCAGCCCGCCCCGGCCGCCAGCCCCTATTATATTGTTAGGATACGCGCTTGGTTTCTGGACTCGAGAGTAAAAGCACGCTGACACCTTCATTTGTGTATAGTAGTTTTAAGTATGTTTCAAGTGTGAAGGTATCATCTGCTAAAAAGGGAAAGCGCCATCTTTATCTAATACTAAAAGAGATATAAAGGCTACAATTTGAAGGCTGGGCACCATTTTCTGTGTTGTGAGGAGAATTTGGGGGGAATCGACCAAAAGTTAACGTAAACATCCATAACTCAGAAACTAAAAATAGGTGGGGCCCCACTCTTTGTAAATGAGTTAATGCAATAGAAAGCAACTTTTACCCACAAATTGATATATCTGGGAAATGTATTTAAAAAGTGAAGTGATTACTTTTTTCACTTGAGCAAAACAAGAGACCAACAGGGCAAGGAGTGCAGGTTATGAGTATAGGCCACTCGGCCGCAAAGTCACTTGAGGCCGCTGCACACTTCGAAAAACTTACTATGATTATAGATAATGCATTGAGGAGGGACTATATAAGATAGAGAAAACTCCACGGAATTGAAAAACTCAAAACATATCACAAAATGTTAAGTACAAAATGGACGCCATCACTCGGCAAAGCCGGCTGCCAAGGCCTGTTTCGGCAATCGCCGAATTTCATTACATAAACGAGTTAACGGGGGCGCCGAGGAATGGAGAGGGATTCGCAGTACAGCAGTTTCAAAAAGGGAAACTAAGGACTAAATTCCAAAGACTTAAAATACTTACCGCAGCAAAAATGAAGACAAGTCCAACGACGAACACAACACCAACGAACTTCACACATGTGGGAATTTTGGGAATTCAAGAAACCGTGGTTTTTTTCATCGTAAACTTTGTTTCTGGTAAGGGCTGGGGGTCCCAATTTTTTCTTTCACTATTTTATGTTGCCCTTTACTGTTTTCAACCCATTTGAGCACCTAGATACACAATTTTAAAAAAACTAAAAAAAAAAATTATATATTTTTTTTGAAGTTTCAAAAAATCACTGCGGCCAAAGTTCTGAATTTTTTTTCAAAAAAATTTATGAGAGTGGTCTTTGGGTGGTACACTACCAGATAAAAAATTGGGGGCCGGATCTGAGCAAGTACGTTTTGGACCATGATGGTTTGACGTGGAACGCCCCTACATTTACTGGGAAGAGCATAGGAATATTCCGAATCACGATTAGCTTCAAACTCAGTCAAACCTGAAGTTCCTTCCACCCGGGCAATGTGCACTGTTAAAAAATGGTTGTACAGAAATAATCAGATGAGTGAAAATTTAGTCGTTCCAAAACATAGAATTTCATCATGAACCAAAGCGAAACAAATGTCGTTGAGTCTAGTAAGCGACATTTTGTCGTTGAAGCACAAAATTCTTGTTATCACTCTTTACGATACAATTTATGTGGAAACAACATCTTTTGCAATTATCTGCTCAATTAAAGCAAATTATGAATAATCATCTATTTTGTTCTTCTAAGTCATAGGGAAATTACTAATGTTTAAAAAACCATGCTAAATAAATTTAGCGACAAAATCACTCTATGAATATTGTCGCAGACATTACAAAATACCTTTCGGACTTTCAATACTTGTCGTTGATGTGTTATTGTTGATGCGTTATTACAATTTAGTCGTTGTGAAATTATCCCTTAGTTCCAATACGCCTACGGTTTAACAAGCTATTTGTTCCACAACAAATCTTGTCGCTAAAAAAGTTAGCAATAAATGTGTCGCTAAGTTACGACAAAATTTTTATCAGTGTAAGAGCCATCAAAACCCGCCCATCACAAGTCAAAGACCAACACGAAATTTTATATCTTGGTTATAAATTTTCAGAACCACACTAAATTTGTAGTTTCACGTTTTGACTTTTCATCAAATTTCTTGACGTTTCATTGCAGACTTGATTTTTCAAGGAGACATTATAACGTTTCATGGAATGTGTTCTGACATTTCATTATATTTATGAAATTTTATGGCCGCTATGAAATTTAATTGCGTTCATGAATTTTCAATGCATATTTGTAATGAAAATTCATAACATTTTTAACAGTGCACGACACGAGCGCGCTACTGCTGCAACAAAGTGGCGGTCGGCTCGGAGCCGAAGCCTCTTCGGGAGGCCCCGAGCAGGGCTGGCTCAACGAATATCAAAATAATATTTCATACACCTTTATTTTTATTAAACGAACGTTCAATCTTTTATCCCTGTTTTGCCAAATGTGATAGCTATTAAGAGATTTTGAAAATGATTGCGAGTCGGGCAAAAGGCGCCAACAGAAATGAAGTTTTTTGTGTCGTAGGTTGGCTACCGTGTTAGGTCGCGCGCCCCGCGAGGTTCGGAAATTGGCGGAGCGGGCCCTATCCCAGTTATACCTCTCTGTTCCGTCCTCTCTGGCCAGACAGCGGCGCGGCCGGTGCGGCCCGGGCCTCGCCGTGCGCTCAGACAGATGTCATTGTCGATCTCTGTCTCACCCGTGCAGTGCAAGCGAGACGGCCGAGGCGGGCACTGGAGGGGGAAGCAGTGGCCGAAGAGCGAGGCGCGCGGCTGGCCCTGGAGTCCCACGCGCTCCAGTTTCCAAATTTAAAATTTGAATGTGACTTCTAAGTTGTGGCGGCTGGGTACCAACAGTTTCCTTTTTCTTTCACGATCATTTTGACACCAGTCGAACAACGGATTGTAATCGGAGATAAAATTTCTCCTACGACCTTCAGGCTCTCCCATCGGGCATCGTGGATGAAACGTATGACCCCTTTCCCCTTACGCCACCCTTTTCGCCAAATTCTGGCCAGCGTGACGCGTTCAAGTCGTGAGGAGCTCGATGGGGGACTGGCTGGATCAGAGTCCGAGGCGGCCCGGCGGCCTGCCGGGCGCGCTCCGGGTCCTCGTCTGCAGCTCCGGCTTAGCGCGGGGGGAGCGGGGGAGGGGGAGGCGGCGAAGACAATGCCCAGCTGCAGGTCAGCTGTCAGTCAAAAATGTGTCGCGCCGCACCGCCTGGCCTGCACAGAGTTCCGATACCTGCCACTGCGCCACCGTCCAGAGCCCCGCCAGTCGACCGCCAACTTCAAAACGAAGAGAATGAGCCGAAAACAGGGTCTTTTTATTTCAGTTCGATCTCAAGAACCATCAGTCGTAGGGTAAAAAGGCTTACAGAATATTGAAGGGGACATCAGGGCCTAGTGAAATATGTATATGGCGATTCATGAAACCGATCCGCTGTCTGCAAAATAACTCAGTGAACATTGGCCGAAAATTGATCAACTTTAAACACCTATTTCAATGCCTAAATATTATCTCACGAACTTCGCGCATACATATTTCACTAGATCTCGCCGTCCTCTGTACGATTCTGCAACGCAATTGTCTCTTGGACTCGTACTTTTTGAGATCGAACTGAAATAAGATTGAGTTTTTGAATGTTCAATAACTTCGTTCAAAATTGAACCAGCCCCAAAAAAATTTAAAGAGAGGTTCCTTTATGCGTCCCGAACCGGTGTACAAAATTTTAGCCGGATCGGAAACCTTTAACAATAGCCCGGGTCCCGCCTTAATGCCTTTGCGAAGGGCATTAAAATTTTGCTTGAAATTCCTACGCCCTTCCCAAGGGCATAAAACGATTTATGCCCTTCGGAAGGGCGTAAAAGAGTATTTATGCCCTAATGGGCGTAATTTTTATGCCTTTGTTTTATAATTGTATTCCAACAAATGCGACATCGTATTCAAACGAGCGAAACAAAATTACAAATTCAAAAACATAGGACGTCCTATATGCATATGTGGCACATGTTGAATCACAGTTTAGACATGACGGTAAATTAAAGAACCGATTCAACTGTTTTGTCATGTTGATTAGTTCTACCATTGCCCTTGTTTGTGTTAGCAGGCCCCTGATAAAGACGTTTAGTTTTAAACATTGCTGAAAAATGTTATATTGTACAACAAAGCCTTGTCATGCTGTCAAAGCAGACAGATGCATTTCTAACAATATAAACGTGGTTTATTTTTTCCCATTCTAGATGACAAGTACATGAACGCGTTGAAAGCGCTGAGAGTGCATCTGGCAACCCAGAAAATGCCACAGGGACGACGCTTGGCTGAACTGAAGAGTGACTTTCAGCCCCGTGGCCAGTCGGGGATTCCGGTCAGTACATTGCCACCGTTCAGCTCATGCATTGAAAGGTTCATGTGCCTGCAAATATACCTCGGAGGGATACTGTGGTCCTAGAAATCTTAACATTCGCTTAAAGTATTAAGTGGATGGCGCTCGTTTGAGTGTAATTCTTCTGCAACATCCGTTTCAGCTTAAATGGGCTAAATAATTCTGAATCCTTTTTTTTTTAAAGGACCCTTGCAAAAGAGTAACCAAAATTTTTAAATAAAACCGTTTAATGTCCAAGCATAAAAGGAGGGCGAGATCATCAGAACCTGACTTAATTATTATTCTTTTCAAATTACTTTCTAAATTAGTAAATTGCTCTGGACTATACTCGAAACAACAACTAACAGCCTTTTCTTTTGGAAGGAATTCAAAATGTTGAGAAATTGCTGACATTTAGAGATGAGTCAGTTTGGGGTACCGTTAAAGTCAGAGCGGTGAGATCGAATATGTTCTAATTTGTTTTAAATATTGTATTTAGTTGTATTTTTGTAACAATTCCATCTGCATTGACAAGTGTATTCAGAATCTTTGCTAAAGATTGCTAGGTGAATGTTTAACGATAAAATTTACTCAAATACATAATTTCAGATTTTGGCATTTTGGTGTTGCCGCTCCCCTTCAAAGGTTTCAGATTCATGGAGTGTTGTGTGACTTATTTTTTAAATAATTTGGAAAGAAAGCTAGAAGCTTCACTGCCATTTTACATTGTTGAGTTGATGATACCTTGTTAGTTAACCAAATACCTCTGCTTGATGTCCATGCGAAAACTTTTGCAGGAGGTGTATGCCTGGGAACTCGGTCAAAGAGTTGAAGAGACTTCTGCCAGAATTGCCAAGGCGGTGTCGTGGCTGCGCGGCAAGGTTGGCATGAAGTGGATCCCCGCCAAGGACTTGGAACGGGCTCTGGGCGCCGTTGACATGAACGCCCTCCAGGGGTCGCCATGCTACAACATGGACCCTGATGCTCTCCAGGTAATGCTTTTGCGAAACGGTATGGATGGGTAATTGCACAGCAATAGACAGACGTGAAAAGTACAAGACGAGCGACAAAGACCGGAAACACACTGATAGAACTGATCCAGGAAGCTGAAGAAGGGAATAATTTGACTTACCTCCAAATAATTGAGTTTTCATCCTAGAATTGTGACTCAGGATGGTTTGCGTCATCAAGTAATTTATTTGACTCAATTCCTTACGGTTTAGGAGAAAATTGGATGTAACTAAATGGATGTAACTCAACTTGACCCCTTCTACGTCCTAAATTTTAACGGAAAATGAAGGTAACTCAACCAAAGTCTACATGACTCCATAACACTAATATGGCAAAAGGAGATAACTTGTCTTTATGAATCTTATGTAAAAAGAATCAACTCAACTCCCCATTACTATCTGGAAAAAAAGGTAACTCCAAATATGTACCACAGAAATATAGCTTCAACGCAGACTTCAGCTCCAGCTCCACTTGAATTGTCTCCAAATTCCACCTCGTTTGGGAGAACTATGTAAACATGGTTCTGTAGTCCATTCCCACTAAAAGATTTTAAAACACAAAAACCGTCTACAGAATGATGCTACAGTTTTGGAAGTCTTCTCAATTATTTCTTAGGCTTTTCTTACAAAAATGCAATTGCATCATTCATCTGATTGGATTCAGTTTACTCTGCAAACAGTTTTTTGTTTCTCCCGAAAAATTATGAAAAATGAGTTATCCCCTTCTTCCGCTTCATGGATCATTTCTTCTCTGCGCTTTACTTCAAACGTACAGTTTTCAAGCGCAGTTGTAAGTTTAAAAGGAAGCACACAACTACGCTCCACTTGAATCAGTGTAGTCCTAGAAATCGCCCTATTTTCGAGGTTTTGGAAGGTTTGACGATATTGTATCATTCAGTCGGGCGTTCCCGACGTTTTCGATTAAAAATTAGCGATATTCGGGGACTGTTTCGATTTAGTCCATGTTCTTCCCTTTCTTCTTCACTCTGTGCTGTGCTGGAAGTGTTTTTCCAACACACTTTGGAGTGCGTTCAGATTTTAAGTGCGGCATTAAAAAATTTGTCGATCTGCATTGAAAGTCGACGTTGACCAGTTGCCTCATGTTTTATCTTCACAACAAAACTTCACAAAATTAACTGTTTACTCGGGACACTCTTACGCTTACGAATGAATGCTTGACAAGTACACATTGACATCTGCATACACTGCAAATCCAAGTGTCAGCCAGTCTCACTATTTAGTGCGAACATCAATGTCTTCCGCTTTTACAAGTGTGAGCCACGTTTGTCCCACGCTTGCAAGTGTGAGCCACGTTTGTCCCGCACTTGCACTACAAATCCAAAGGTCAGCCTTCTCGTCACAGAGGCGAGACATTAAGTCTGGCGAAGTTTTGGTCAGACCTGAAAGTCTCGCCAAAGTTTGGTGAGACAAAAAAGTCTCGCCACAAAATGGTCAGACACAAAATTCTCACCACAAAATGGCGAGACCTTTGTGTCTGACCGCCGCCCAAATGCCGTAATGCACCAGACATTTCCGGTCTAAAGGCCATGGTCAGACACTAGAGTCTCGCCCTTTTGTGGTGAGACTTTTGTGTCTGAACATTTTGTGGCGAGACTTTTGTGTCTCACCATATTTTGGCGAGACTCTCAGGTGTGACTAAAACTTGTATTCCGGCGCGACGTCTTTCCATCCAATTTGCAGTGTGTGAGCGTCGGTCCTGTGGCATTGAACCACAGGGAACCAAAGGCAGCAAGTATGAGAGAAACAGTCTCACACTTGCAAGCGTGCGCGGCTTGCACTTGTCATAAAATGAAACGGACTCACACTTAGGTTCGCAGGGTACATGCCACGTAACTTTGTGCTACGCCCATGCACTTACGAAACGATGAAAAGTGTCCACTTTCAGGATGACAATTTATAAGAGTCTTCAGTGTGCAGAGTGTGCATATGCGTCGTTAGTAGCAAGTGAGGTTTGTGGTGTGATTCCGTTCGTTCCCGTTGCCCAGGCGGTCGGCCTGTTTGCCGGGCACTCCCTGCTGGAGCACTCGTGCGCCCCCAACGCCTTCTCGTACTACTGGCACAACGAGGACGATAGCAACCGGGACGACATGGAGACGGTCTTGGTGGCGGCGAGAGACATTGCCCGCGGGGAGCACGTGACCATCACGTACCTGGACGGCAACAGTGTCTGCGACGCGCCGACCAGGCGCCAGACGCTGCTCAATTGGTCCTTCTTCTGCCGCTGTGTGTTGTGCAGAGACCCCACGGAGCTGGGGCTCCACCTGACGGCTTGGTACTGCGGCTACTGCAACCGTAGGTGTCATTTTCTCTCTGTTGTGTTTGTTTTATGTAATTTCTGTGTCTGCTCTAAGAATCCAAACGCTATAGCGTCGATTGGTGAAATGCGTTAGAAGACGTTTTCTATTGTATCCATTTGGTGCATTGCTTTTTCATTGCTCGTGAAGTGCAATGCCTTCCCGTGCATTGAAGTGCAATGCCTTCCCGGGCATTGCGGCTAGTAATTTTATGTAGTATGTTGGCGTCAAGGACTTAAAGAAAAGACAGCTTCTCACGTCATATACAGTTCGGATAGTTCTGAATGACACCGTCAGTCAGGATTGTGTTTTCACTGCCAGTTAGGATTATTTTCTAAGGACGCATCGAAGTATGCAACAAATTTGCAGGGATCCTTAACTTAACATTTAACTAACACTGCTTTCATAACGTAACATAATACAATGTTCGCTAAAGGTCAAGGGTACGGATTTATGAAAGTACTTGCAAAAGTATACCCACACAAATTCGAGACATAAAAAAATAACCTACCCTTTTGAAAAGATGTTGGAAGTTAAGGGGGGACCCTGGTGAAAAAATCGCCAAAATTCCAAAAAATAGTGTTTTCAAAGTTCATAGATAAAAATGTGCATAGAAGGTTTCAGATTCAACAGGTTGAACACCTTTAAGCTAAGTGGGTAGTTCCTTTATCATTTGGAAGGAAATAACAATGAGATCAGTTGTTGTTGGCTTCTACGCTCAACTTCACAGCTTTGCCCAGTCGACAAAAAATTTTGTAGTTGAAAGACTTTCTGCGTTTCTGGTTGACACCTACATGAGTCGTCTTGCATGGACTCTATTCATAGATGACTTATTGACAAATTTTAGTGACGGAATCTTGATATCAGCCCTACTTTGTTTAAAACACACCTAATAGTTTGAAAAAAGGGGAAAAAAATCCCTTTTTTTTAAATGTTAAAATTTGAAAACTCATATCTCAGGACAGAAGTTGAATTTGAAAATTCCGTCACTAAAATCTCTTCTATACATCTTTAGGATAACCCAAAAAAATTTTCAAGACTTTCCATCTTAATGAAAGACGCAGGAAGATTTTTCCCCAACGCTCTAAAAAACACTTAAAAGCCACTTTTCTCAGAGACCGTTCAACATTTTGGATTGAATTTTGTTTTGGGAACTCACCATAATGAACCTAACAAATTAGCAAAGTTTCAACTTTCTAGGATTATTTTGAAGCCTACTTGAAAGTTTCGCCAGGGTCCCCCCTTAAGGGTAATAACTTTAACTCTTATCAACGTTGTGATGCCCTTATGAGGTAAGTTAAGGATCCCTGCAAATTTGTCGCTGACTTTCATTCCCAGTTTGTTCCAACTGTATATTAATGTATTCGATCGTAAATCAACAACTGTAGTACTTCTGTGGATGGTCAAAGTCATTGATATACGATTTCGGTCGTAAATTAACGAGTTGGGTGGATACGACTTAAATGCCGTGGAAATAAAGAGAATCCACAGTATAAGCAATCATTTTAAGTAGTTTTCGTTGTCTGGAAGTTAAAATAGTTTGGTTATTTATGTCCGCTTTCTTTGATTACCAGGCAAGGGCAGACGCTGCTTGGTGGAGGTCCCAGATATTTGTGGCTTTGGCTGCGAGGGTTGCGGCGAAGGAGGCTATGTGAGGAAGGACGCCGAGGGAAACGGCTGGGCTGAAGTTTCGCGCCTCGAAGCGCGGATCAAGGAGCTTCGGGGAAGCGGCCAGAAGGTACACTGCGAGAGAAAAGTACAGAAAAAGTACGGAACATGTCAGGTCAATAATAGGGTACTTCGGAGGAAGCCCAGACCGGAAGTCAGCGACAGATCGGGAGAAACAAAAGAGCGTCGTGAGGCCGTGCTGAGCGGTAGTGGGGGCCGCGACGGGCAGAGTGGGGGTAGCATGCTCGCGCCGCCTTCACCCCCACTCCGCCGATTTCGACCCTCACCACAGTTCAGCACAGCCATGCGACGTTGTTTTGGTTCTCCCGTTCTGTCGCTGACTTCCGGTCTGGGTTACCTCCGAAGTACCCTATTAGCCTGGACCGTCCGTACGTGTCCTAGCACGGAACTTTTTTAACCGATTTTTCCGTACCCGATTACATGGGTTGTTAAGGAACAAGTCCGGACGTCACAGTGTTTTGGTCACATTCGAACTTTTCGTACAATTTTTGTACGAATAACTGCGCATATTTGCCCATTTTTGTGCAAAATCGCGAACAAATTGGTACGATGAATTCGTATGCACTAAAATTTGTGATATCTCGTCAAAGACCAATAGTGTGCACTCATGTGTACACCAGAACGCGAGGTGATTCACCCCTCGACTAAGTAGACAGATATGTTAGTAGTGAACTTTGCCACGACGTCAGAGACCGTGTGTGCCAAGTCACGTACAATCAAAAGTCGACATTTGATTCGCCAGGTGCCCAGGAAGGTGTGGAAGGGTCTTCTTTCCGAGGCCCTGCGGACCGGTGGCGTATTGCACCCCACCCATGCCCTGGTGCTGCAAGTGAAGAAAGAGCTGGCGTTCGAACGCGCCCTCGACAAACTTGCTGGGAGGGTTCCAGCAGACGCGTCGGGGCAAGCAGGTAAGAAGTGATCCAGGAAGCGGAAGAAGGGGATAACTCAATTTTGGCCATTTTTCAGGAGAAACAAAAAACTGTTTGCAGGGAAAACTAAAACAAAACAAATGAATGTTGCAAATGTTAATAATTTCAAAAAGCACTAGGAAAATTTTGGAAAAAAATCAAAAGTGTAAGGTCACTCCGTAGAGGATTTCTGCGACTTATCACTTTCCGTTAAAATGGAAAACAGAGTCAGCTCACCTTATATTTCCTAAACAAAGAGGAATTTGGAGACAAGTCAAGTGGAACAATAGTCTGCATAAAGTGTATGTTACTCTGGTGTATTTTTTGGACTTAGCTCTTTTTTCCAAATTGAAATTTAAAATTAAGGGGGGGTTAAGTTGAGTTGATTCTTTTTACACTAGATTCATAAAAACACAAGTTGAGTTATATCCTTTTGCCAATTTGTCAAACGGACTCATGTAGACTAAGGTTGAGTTATCTCCATTTTCCAATGAAATTTAGACTGTAAAAGGGGTTAAGTTGAGTTATACCCTTTTTCCATGTGGATTTTCTTCTAAACTGCTCAGAATTCAGTCAAATAATTTGGTGTGATGATGTAAACCATTCTAGGGGACCATAATAAAATAAAATTTCAATTTGGGGATAAGTCAAGTTATTCCCTTCTTCCGCTTCCTGGATCAAGTAACGAGTACAAAGGGTCTGAGCGCATTCGCTTTTTCGATGCTTTTCGAGCACCGGACCCAACTTCTAGACTGTTGGAACGTCCCTTCTTTAGGATCGACAATGTAAAAATAGATTCTGCGTAGTTTTCTGAGCAAGCAGCTCGATGTTTTATTCCCGGATTTGAACACTGCAATTTGGATGGAAAGACTTTACGCCAAAATATGGCGAGACATTAAAGTCTCGCCAAGATTTGGTCAAACCTGAAAGTCTCGCCAAAATTTGGTCAGACAAAAAAGTCTCGCCACAAAACGGTCATACACAAAAGGCTGACCCCAAAATGGCGAGACTTTTGTGTCTGACCACGGCCTTTAGGCCGTCACCGTCCGGCGCATTACGGCCTTTCGGTGGTGGTCAGACACAAAAGTCTCGCCATTTTGGGGTCAGACTTTTGTGTATGAGCGTTTTGTGGCGAGACTTTTTTGTCTGACCAAATTTTGGCGAGACTTTCAGGTCTGACCGAATCTTGGCGAGACTTTTATGTCTTGCCTCTGGAGTGGCGAGAAGTCTGACCTTTGGATTTGTAGTGAAAGGGGCTATTAATCAGTGTCATTTGCAGGACTCCATGATGTACTTGTTACCATTATCCCGAAATTGAATATTTTTTGTCTACTTGAACAATTTTGTTTTGCATATTTTTTTGCTTCTGGATGCCAGTTAAGGATGAAGCATGCTTTCATATGGAGTCCTGTGAATAAAATTTAAAAACGCCCCTGTCAAATTTTGGATCATTCCATTAAGCAGTTAGCTCAGAGAGCTTACACACAGACGTTCAACAAAGGGACTTTCCTCTAACGTGATTGAACTTCTATTACGTCAAGCTCTTGAGTAAAACAAAGTTCTCTAAGCTACAACCTGCACCTTCTCTATTCTTTTCAACTCATCAAATGCAACAGTATGTGGCAAAAAATTACCCATGTAGTTCATATACATATCTGCGGTTTGGAAACCGGGACGTTGCATGTTGCGCTCTCATTCCAGGAACGTGACATCACGTTGAAACGAATGTGACAAAATGTCACGTTCCTTTGAGCATTGAGTTGCATTCGTTTGGATTAGAATCAGCCATAATTTAGCTTATTCGCATTCAAACGAATGTGACACGACACAATGTGATGTCAAGTTTCCAGGATAAGAGTGATGTGCTATTTCATTGTTTGAGGAGACTGCTATTTGTCCACACAGGTGATTTGCGCCAGGATGTAGCCTACACTCGTGAGCTGCTTCGTGTCATGGACGTCCTCCAGCCAGGGATCAGTCCAGCCCGTCGGGATTGCTTGATGAATCTCTACGATTTGACTGAGGCCCTCTTGGAGCTCCCAGGGAATGAGAACAACGAGGTACGTAACCAGATGTTAAGTTGATGGTTTTCAAAACCTTGGTGAATGTTGCTCCGGTAGCATTCTTCACGCACTTTCGTGTACTGAACCTAGAGGCAGCCATTAATGGGCACTCACTAAATGTTATGTACAAATTTGTACAAATTTGTACAAATTTGTACATCACTACACTGCAAACCTAACTATTATTTATTAAGTACAACTTACAAATGCATGTTTGCAAGTACACACTTACAAACGCATGCTTGGCCAAGTACACACTTACAATTGCATGCTTGCAAGTACACACAAACGCATGCTTGACGCATGGAGTTATACGGCGTCAAGCATGCGTTTGTAAGTGTGTACTTGCAGGCATGCATTTGTAAGTGTGTACTTGGCCAAGCATGCGTTTGTAAGTGTGTACTTGCAAGCATGTATTTGTAGGTGTTTACTTAGTAGACAGTTCGGTTTGCAGTGTATTTTCAGTGCACACAAACTTGTCGTATAAATTTTGTACGAGAAACTGCACGGATTTTACCAATTAGGTGCAAAACCGTGTCCAAATTTGCATGAACATTTCGTGTGCACAAAAAACGGTTAGGTTTCGTACAAACTTTGCGCTAAAATATTTAGTGTGTGAAGATGAAATCGTGCTACAGAGCACAACTTATGCTCCATCGAAAGATAATAAAATTTGGCATCTTTTCCAACCCCGGCCATTACGATCAGATGCTGATCTTTCGCACATTGCTCGTTCAACAACTCGTTGTTTCGTATTTCACACTCTAAAGGGGTCAGAAATAATGATCCACCCTAACGGCCATGACGATAGTACCATTCCACGGCGGCCATGGTTTGATGCCCGTGGGCAACCATGCTGCACTACTTGTTTTTCGTTTCTTTAGACTTTTTCGTTTCTTTAGACTGGAAGTTCCCGGAAAGACAACAATGCAGACACGCGGTTCTTTCTATTTTAAACGTGGCCAAATGTTTCTTGTTGCAGGCTTTGATGAAGGAGTACGTGGAACTTAATGAAAAGATCCAACCCTGCCTTATCAATCCCCAGGAGAAGAAAAATTTCCCTGCCTTATTTGCGGAAACTTGAAAAGTTTCTTGTTAGTGCTTGAATATGCCCGAAGTTATTTGGTATACTGCATTCATCTAGTTTGTGAACTTCCATCATAATCAGCACGATCAAAATAAACGTCAATGGACAAAATAATTTTTGCACTCTTTTCTTCCTTTAAACAATCCTTATCCACGGTTTTCGTTTGCCTGTCACCGCAGTGTCGTTGCAGTTCATGAAATAATTCAAGATCCGTGAGCTGGTACAAGGGCGGACTGGGACCCAAAATACCCGAGCGGGAAATTCATGGAACCATGGAGAATGACTATATTCCATGGAGTGGTGTCGGATCGTGCAGACCATTTTATTTTACCACACTTACTCACTCACTATGGTAGCTAGATCAACAAGACCGGTGCCTATCGGTAGTTAAAGGAATGAAATATCTACAGTTTGCAATTGGATTATCAACTTTTCGCCTAAACAGAACTCTCAAACCCGTAAAACCGCTGGTCCCGAGCTGTCGAGAAAATGTGCGAGAAGGACAGCACTATGTGCGAGAGCAGAGATCCTTAACTTAACTTAACGTTTAACTAACACTGCTTTCATAACGTAACATAAGACAATGTTCGCTAAAGGTTAAGGGTACGGACTTCTGGAAGTACTTCCAAAAGTATCTCTACACAAATTCCAAATACAAAAAAATAACTTACCAGGGATCTTTAACTTATCTCATAAGGGCATGATAACGTTATCATAAGAGTTAATGTTATTATCCTTAACTTCTAACATCTTTCCAAAAGGGTAGGTTATTTTTTTTAATGTCTCGAATTTGTGTAGATATACTTTTGCAAGTACTTTCATAAGTCCCCTTAAGTACCCTTAACCTTTAGCGAACATTGTCTTATGTCACGTTAAGAAAGCAGTGTTAGTTAAATGTTAAGTTACCCAGTTACCCAACCCTCAAGGTCCCACAACTAAGCCAAAGTCTAACTTCTTTCGCAAGAAGGTGACCCAAGACGATGTTGACCGAGCTGTGTGGATGAATTTGTTAGTTGCACACGGCAAGCACACAGAATAGTTGACTCGCCGTACTTCAAGAAATTAACATTGCTTGGTCTTTCTGATAGTCTTTCGGTGTGCTGTCGCCAGACTTTCAGCAAGACACTGACGGAACATTTCAATAACATGACGACTAACCTCAACACTGCAAAGGGGTCATTCCCATACTACGTGACCAATTTTAGGCCACTTTTTGACCCCTCCCTCCCCCCTTGTGACCTCTAGTGGTATTAGCCTGAACCCCTCCCCCCCTCCCCACTTTTCACGTAGTATTTCAAAAGTAAGCCAATTTCTCGCATTTCGTCGCGTGCGCTTTAAAAACACTCTCATTCGAAGTATGTGACATCTCGTTGAAACGAACGTGACATTTTGTCACGTTCGTTTGAGCATTGTGTCACATTCGTTTGAACGTGAACAAGCTAAATTTTGGCCGATTCACATCCAAACAAATGTGACACAACGCTCAAACGAACGTGACAAAGTGTCACGTTCGTTTGAGCGTTGTGTCAAGATCCTGGAATTAGAGTGGAATGTGTAACAATGTGTTTTGGAAGAAAAATAAAAAAAACTGTGACAACATTTCACATGGGCGCGGAGAAGGAGTGCGGGGTGTCAAGCCGTGCCGTGCCGCAGGAACCGTCACAACGCGCCATTACAGCGAGTCCGCGGCGCGTTGAACGCTTGAAATGTTTAATAACTGACGCTTTTGAAATACTACGTGAATTGCCCCAAAACCCCCCCTCCCTCCCTGTGACCTGAAGTGGTATTTTGAGAAACCCCTCCCTCCCCCAAAATCGGTCACGTAGTATGGGAATGCCCCCAAAGCTAGTGGTCATTTTGCTTGCCACAAATTTGGCAAGCCGTTTTGAATGCCATATACACTGTTAAAAAAAATTGCTGAAAATTCAGACTATTTTGACTGAAGTAAATATGCAGAACAACCTACTGAAAATTCAGACTTAATCCTGGTCTGAAATTTTCAGTCTTACATAAGTCTGAACCTTTCAGGCAAGTCGTAGTCTGAAAAATTCAGACAAAATTTACTCAGTTATTACATTTTTTGTCTGAAAGTGGCAGCAGGAAACTGTTCCCATAATTCGGTAAAATGATAATGTTTGCATCCCAACCTGAAGGTGACGTGCTCCAGGAGACCGCCTGGGTGAAAAATTGAGGGTAGGGAAATGTCCCCGAAGTGGGACTCTTCCCTGCACTCATCTAGAGCCGGCCTGACGCACCCAAGGAAAAGACGGCACGGAGCCACCCGCGAGAGGTAACTTCAAATGTCAATTGTTAAACTCACGCGTTTGCTACAGATATAAATTTGGTATGGGAGCGTGTGTTTCGTCATATCCAATAGAGTAATAGCTATTTCGGGTTGGAAATATTAAAAATTTAACAGAAAAAAACGTTTTTAACAACAGCAGCCTTTTTAACGACACTGGCGCCACCTAGCGGAGAGAAAAATGCTCTCGTTTTGTTTGAAGTCCCCGAAACGGAGTCGGATAAAATTGAATGTAAGACTGATTGTGAGTTAACCTAAGGTTAGGTTTGACGAAAGTTGTCCAATTTTCACTTTTGTTTGAACATATTTCAGAAAGTAGTCTGAATCCGAAATTCAGACTCTAGAGGTCTGGAAAGTCTGACGCAAGTTCATCTGAATTTTGAGAATGAGTACAAATATCGAGACTCTTCGAGTCTGAACCAAGCTTTCGGACAAAGCGTCCAAGAACTAAGACAAAAACTCTGATTTTTCAGAATAAAGTCTGATTTACAGATTCAGACCGCTAAGTCTGACAAAAGTGGTCTGAATTTTCAGAATTTTTTTAACAGTGTAATTTGGCAAGATTTGGTCGGCAATCTTCATAAGCTTGCCAAATTTTGGTAAGCTGGGGGGGGGGGGGGGTGTTTCCGGGCCAAGCTTGCCAATTTTTGGCATTCAAAACGGCTTGCCAAATTTGTGGCAAGTAAACTTACCACCGGCTTTGCAGTGAAAACTGCATTGAATCAAGTCAAGTACGTAGCCCAAACTGCGGACGGATGGTCGAAGTTCAGGCGAGGTTTCCTGGGTGTTGTAGTAACATGGCTGGACGAAGTCACATTGAAGCGGGAAATAGCAGGGCTGGCGCTCCAACGGATGAAGGGCCGCCACACATTTGACCAAATTGCCTCATCCCTGAAGAAAGTCAATGACAATTTTGACTTGAAAGAATAACAGGAAAAGTAGCGATACACATCGGCAACTTTGGCCCGTCCCGTACATTAAGAAATGTGCGCATTTCGCCTATGTTAAACCCTTACGGGATTTGAACCTGAGTCTGGGGCAAAATAGATGAAATTTTCATCAGCACCCAGAAAAACATCAGAAAGAATGCAACAACTCGAATAAAAAGAATGTTCAAAATAAACCCCACTGGGATTTGAACCCGGGTCCAAACTTCTCCGATTCGCTTGAAATTGGCACCGTTGGTTTTGTCTTGTCGCCCTGATTCCAAAAATACCCCTACATGCCCTCCTAGCTGTATCCGTTGCCGAAATCCTCCTCGACCCCATGTAGACCATGATGCACCTGCAGCAGCGCCCCCGGGGCTCGGATCGGATTTGCTGCCACTGGGCGGTTCTTAGGGTCACCCAAGGAGGCTGCATCCGAAATTTGGTCAAGATCGGACCACGGGAAGTCCTCGGACGCTCGTTCAGAGCTACCTCCGCGACCATCAACACCTAGGGATGAGCCTGAAGTAAGTTCTTTTCACCCTATTTTTTCTGCACACTTTACCCATCGCATTCAATTCACGTTCCGTTAACTGCACTTTTGTTTCACCGAAATCGCAAGTAACGGTTCGTGTGGCGGAAGGATTAGGACTCGTTACTACCATTTACTTTGATGTGTTGCAGGACTACCCCGAGAAAGAGAACGCCAGCAACACGAAGGAGGCAGACGCGGATGACGATGAAGTGGACGTCGTGGGCGATGAGGTGAGAATCTAGATTCCTCATGCTGCCCCTCTCCTCCCTTCATTCTAATATTCCCCCGTTCCGTTTATCTTTTGTTCCAAATTCCAGGCGGTCTTTTTACCGCCCACGCCCCCGCCGTCGCCCCCCCTCCCCCCGCAACCATAACCGCTGCCTCAGTTCCCCGACGGGGTGGCCCCCGGCGGGGCTCACACTGTAAGCACTTTTCTAACTGACACGTCGTACCGCGTTTCCCCTCGTGCACGTACGCCACCTCTAAGTGTCTAATCATATTTTTGTTTGTCTGTTCTCAGGTACCAACTCCATGGTTGTGGACCAATGCCGCCGACCCGCTGGGGCTGTTTGGCCCCCCGCCGACGCGCCCACCTGCACCCCGTGCTGCAGTTTAACTTGTACCGCCTACCGCCGCAGTTCGCCCCCCGCCGACGCGCCCACCTGCACCCAGTGCTGCAGTTCAACTTGTACCGCCTACCGCCGCAATTCGCCCCCCGTGCCCAACTGCTGTGCGACCTGCGCCCAGTGCTACAGTTCACCAAGTACCCGCTGCGCCGACACACCCACGAGTTCACCCGCCAACCCAGGCTGCAGAGCGCGGCGGGCGAGGACGTGGTGTGCACCCTCTTTATTACCGCGGAGGGCGCGGTGCCTACCCACCTCATCACCGCGGAGGACGTGGCGGACGAGGACATGGTGACTTCCCACCTCATCACCGCGGAGGCTGCGGAGGCCGCAGTGGGCGGGGACACGGGCAGCTGTTGAGTATTTTGGATCGACTGGGCCCGCACCCCGGCTCAATGCCTGATTTAGTGGGGGGGGGGACAAATCCACAAATCCTCTCCCAACCCCCTTCACCCACACACGACTTACCTTCCACCGCCCTATGAACGTGCGACGTCGCATCGGCATCGGCCGACTAGTTTGAACGTGCTACATTACCGGCCGCGCGGGAAACTTAAGTTCGCGCAGTATTTCACTGCATACGTGTTGATATGTTAGAGAGTGATGCCGTCTTCGAAGTGTTTTGCAGCATGTGATCTTTCTCCATGGACCCGCGTCTGACTTACGATAGATAATGAACAAACAAGGGTTTGAGAACCGTCTAAACCGAA